TGGTTAACGATCAAATCACTTATTCTAATCATTCAACCTAGAGGCCGGTGTCCCTCAAGGATCATGCTTATCACCTTTCTTTTCAGCATTTATAATTAACAGATGTCCCAAACAGCTGACTCAGAATCGCCCTTCTTCCCGTGACCGAATTCCGCTTTATTACAGCCAACGAGATATACTCTGTGCTTACGACAACTTCGAACGACTTAACAGAGTTTATCAACTGGTCTGAACAGTGAGGAATCAAAATAACTCCATTATCGTAAAAACTTCACGCGTCGTAATTTAAAACACGTATTGGACATTCATATTGGAAAAGGCAACACAATTGCTATAAATCGACACAATCATATAAATGATTGACAAAAATATACACAATACAGATATTAAACATTAATAGATGATTTTGTCAGAAACATTTCTGATGTATTAATTACAAAACTAATAAGTGCTACATGAGCAAACTTTCTCGCATTATTTGTAACGCATCTGGCAAATTATATTACTACATGAACCTGCGAAACGGTATCGAAGCAGAAAAAGTTCCCGCGCCTCGGCTCAACTCGGTATCCAGTTAAAATTGAAATGGGCTTTTTCGTTTATCACGCACCAGAACATTCCGAGAGTTCCAGAAAATTAGACATGCGTCAAAGTTTAAAGTACCTTTCTCCATTCGTGAATAGATTCGAGAGAAAAAAGTTAGAGCTCTTTGATACATGTTTTTTTAATAAATTGCAAAAACGTTAAGTAGAAATTCGCGAAAACTACTAGTTATGCCAAAATACATTACATACAAATTACATTAATACATACATACAATTCATTACAAATACAATACATACACACTGTAACGAATATGCATCACCTGCCGGAATTCGTTGCGCGCGATTGCGTCATCTGCCGGCGCCCCCCCCCCCCGGCTGACGTTCCGACTATTCGCGAGCCGCGGGCAATGCGGAGAATGTGCCTGGTGTCTCGGACGAGCGCCGCCCAGGTATAAATGCGCCGCTTGCCGGCGGCGCGAGTCTAGTAGCAGTCAGTGAGTAGCAGAGAAGTCAGTCAGTCCGTCAGTGTGTCCCAAGTGGAAGCTGTGTTGTAAATTGTGCATCGCGGTAAACAGTGGTGCAGTGGGGAAACAGAAGTCAGCAGTTTGAAGTCTGCAGTGAAGCTGAGCTGTGAAGGTGCATCGCGGTAAGCAGCAGTGCAGTGCACCCTGGTGTGCGCAGTGAAGTGTGGTATGCGCAGGAATTGTGGTCTACGCGGGAATTGGGTCAAGTTGCAGTGGACCGTGGACAGCGCATCGGACTGAAAATATTTAGAAGTGAACTGTGTTATTAAATAATCAAGAGAACGGGGTCGGTTGTAAGAAAAATAATTAAGTGTAATATGTCTGTAAATAGACCAAGTAGTTTAGTCAGCAGATTTTAGTGTATAATGTTCACGAAATAAACGTTTTTGTTATAATAACAGTGAGTTTTAATTCACCACGAGAACGTTACAATACATTACATTCCAAGTACATTACAACAGTATTCATTTCGACAAAAAATTCTATTTTTAATGCTGTAATTTACGATTTTTTTTTGCAAATTTTTCCAAACCACAGAGTTCGCCAAAAATGGGAACAAGCACTGAGTTTTCTAATTTCTTTGATACACGCGATGAGAATTTTGAAGACATTTTGAGAAAAATATGTTGAAAAATACTTATATTTCACGTAAAATTAGGCAAAACAATTTTATCCTTTTCTTTGAGGCATTGTTCATACCGGCTGGGGTGAACTCCGGAGAATTCATCGGCCGTTACGTTGGGCCAGAGGAGTTGGTCGCCCCGGGAGGGCGAATCCCCGGCGGACTTCGGCCGTCACAAAATACATACATACATATATATATATTCTGATGTATTAATTACAAACTAATAGTGCTACATGAGCATACTTTCTCGCATTATTTGTAACGGTCTGGCAATATTATATTACTACATGAACCTGCGAAACGGTATCGAAGCAGAAAAAGTTCCCCGCGCCTCGGCTCGAACTCGGGTCCATCCAGTTAAATTGAAATGGGCTTTTTCGTTATATCACGCACCAGAACATTCCGAGAGTTCCTAGAAAATTAGACATGCGTCAAAGTTTTAAAAGTACCTTTCTCCATTCGTGGAATAGATTCGAGAAAAAAGTTAGAGCTCTTTGATACATGTTTTTTTAATAAATTGCAAAACGTTAAGTAGAAATTCCGCGAAAACTACTAGTTATGCCAAAATACATTACATACAAATTACATTATATACATACATTACATACATTACAAAATACAATACATACACACTGTAACGAATATTGCATCACCTGCCGGAATTCGTTGCGCGCGGATTGCGTCATCTGCGGCGCCCCCCCCCCCGGCTGACGTTCCGCGACTATTCGCGAGCCGCGGGGCAATGCGGAGAATGTGCCTGGTGTCTCGGGACGAGCGCCGCCCAGGTATAAATGCGCCGCTGCCGGCGGCCGCGAGTCAGTAGCAGTCAGTGAGTAGCAGAGAAGTCAGTCAGTCCGTCAGTGTGTCCCAAGTGGAAGCTGTGTTGTAAATTGTGCATCGCGGTAAACAGTGGTGCAGTGGGGAAACAGAAGTCAGCAGTTTGAAGTCTGCAGTGGAAGCTGAGCTGTGAAGGGTGCATCGCGGTAAGCAGCAGTGCAGTGCACCCTGGTGTGCGCAGTGAAGTGTGGTATGCGCAGGGAATTGTGGTCTACGCAGGGAATTGGGGTCAAGTGCAGTGGACCGTGGACAGCGCATCGGACTGAGTAATATTTTAGAAGTGAACTGTGTTATTAAATAATCAAGAGAACGGGGTCGTGTGTAAAGAAAAATAATTAAGTGTAATATGTCTGTAAATAGACCAAGTAGTTTTTAGTGTCAGCAGATTTTAGTGTATAATTGTTCACGAATAAACGTTTTTGTTTAAATAATACCAGTGAGTTTTAATTCACCACGAGAAACGTTACAATACATTACATTCCAACGTACATTACATAGCAGTATTCATTTCGACAAAAAATTCTATTTTTAATGCTGTAATTTACGATTTTTTTTGTTGCAATTTTTCAAACCACAGAGTTCGCCAAAAATGGGACAAGCACTGAGTTTTCTAATGTTCTTTGATACACGCGATGAGAAATTTTGAAGACATTTTGAGAAAAATATGTTGAAAAATACTTATATTTCACGTAAAATTAGGCAAAACAATATTTTCGAAATTTTATGATCTTATTTCAAATTCTATAATTCATCATTCTAAAGGCCAAAAAGTGTCTTGTCGCTGCCGGCATGACCTTTACTGCCCTTTACATCTCTGCATAGTTTTTGAATTGTAATTGGGTTTGAAGCTGTACCAACATTTATATTCCAGGTCTCCCTATACCTCTATTTCCAACTATTTTACATTCCGAAAATGTAGTTAAGAGTTCGTTATGCCTAAAAATGTATCCAAAGAATGTTGCTTTTCTTTTCCAAATGGTTTTCAATAAGGATATCTGCTCTTTCACCTCTTCTAAAATTACAATTACAGATTTCATTAAGAAATAAAAATTCTCCAAAATTGTAATTGTAGGAAGACTCTGAAAAAAATGTTGAACTTTCACAATTTGCCCAAAATTGGGGATTTAAATGAATGTCAGATCTGAACCTTTCTGTTAAGCACCGTTGACTCTTTTCTACGACTAACATTAATCAAAAACGTGGACGTGAATTGTTGACAAAAGTTTGAAAATGTTGAGGGTTTATACGACAGGGAAACTCCGGCAGGCGGACCTTATTGCCGCCAATCGATTATCCAGAATCAAGCAACTCATAGAAAACTTAAAAATCTAGTTTTTAAATGTTGCTTACCACGACAGGTTGGTTAATCATTCAACTACGTATGGTAAAGTAAATATTTGTTTATTATTTATTTGTTTATCGTCAAAAACAATTAAAACCCGTACGAAGTAGTCTAGGGAAGAGTGGTATTGAAAAGTGTAGTTAAGAGTTCAGTTCGCAGTTTCGTAAACCCTGGATTCCCTAACCAATATACACAACATATACACTAGTTGAATTCTGGAAACAGATGGAAATGAGCATTTTTTTTTCAAGAATTTATAAGAAAATATTTGCTCCAGTGTATTAAAAACTATTTGCAAAGGCAAATCAGCTCTAGATTTTGGCCTCATCGTGAAGGAATCCACCTCCTGCGGGAGAACAGTGAAAACAGTAATTTGAAGAAGTATACTGCCTACAGAACTCTAGAAGAGGTGCACAGATAATGAACTTACATTACAAGGGACCGTCTCAGCATTCGCTCAAAAGATCAAGGAATCTGGACGAAAAACCTGATCGAGATGGGGGACATTGACCCAGAATCTGAGGTAAAATAATTGGAACAGGATGCGTAGAATTATGCAGTTCAAATGGTAATTTATTCATTTAATATCACTGTTCAAATTAATAGTACTCTTCTCTTTGATGATCGGTGTAGTCTCTAATTGTATAGAAATAGTTATGCTGCACAACATTTTTTACATGGCACTTGAACTTTTGTATCGAATTCAATCGTTTAAAGTCCAATGGCAATGTGTTATAAAATAATGTAGTACATGTATCTGATTGGAGAAGAGATTCTGGATTTCATGCAAACGTGCGCAAAATATACTTCTTCCATATGCGTCACATACAGTTTTTACTATTTACGACAAAAATAAAACAAATAATATTAAGCAATTATTATCGCCTTTGCAAGTGCTTTCAAAAATACGTCAGCTATTACATTCGACATGCACAGGAAGCGAAACAAAATAACATTTTAGTAACGATTTAGAGATTTTTTATAATGATAGCATACAAAAAATACATTTTGGGATCATTAGAAATCCAGGATACTATTTGAACAACACTCAAGACCTGACCGAAACATTTCGAACGGAAAACCAATTAGATAAACAAGAGACAAATTTACGGAATCAGGGGACTCACCTCCGGGGACACAGTAGCGCCAAGGAAGTTCTTAATGAAACCAGTTTCCGGAGAGCGTACTCAGCTGTAAACAAATAAAAAACTTCATTAGATGTGCGCTGCGCAAGGAACTAAAACGAAACACGCTACAAGTATATGGGGACTCCATTTAATTTTCATTTACTTTGGAACACCTCAGAACCTGAATGTTAGCAATTATGCAGATGTACACTACGTTGTACCAGTTTGCGAGGAAATGGATCTCTCCTTGTTCCCCCCAACCGAGCATTATCGGCGTCTCCACGAACGTGTACTCATCCGCGCATTGATCAAGCTCACGAGGGCACAGCGACCCAAACGAGTAATCAAATCAATCTAAAGCGAGTGCTGCTATAACAACACATACTTTCTTGGACAATTTGTAACATCTTCGTAAAGTAATAGATGACCCTGAAAAAGTGTTTCCAAACAGCAAAATTATTGTACCCACGCAAAGATTCGATCTCGGGGTCTTAGGAGTTCACACGCCAGGCACGTCACCCCAAGACCACATCCTGCTTCAGCACCCCGTTGCAACACTTCAAAACATTTTATCATTTGCATTTGCAATTTTTTTAAATTCAGAAATTCGACCGAAATGTGACTTGCGCGATTTTTAAGCAGTCTTTACACCGAGGAAAAGTTTACAAAAAATTTCGTGCCTTTTTGTGAAATTTTTGAAATTGAGTTTGAGGTTTCTAGTCAAGTACCTACCTACCAAAAAATAGTTACAAACTCTCAGGGCCTCGACTATCTCTACATCAGACTGATATGATTTGAAGCTTTGAAGCTTTGGAGAAAATCGTCTGAACTGTTAAGAAGCTTGCATTGATCAGAGATGGACGGACAGAGAGACAATTTTCCCATCATTCGATTTTTCGGTAACAAGGACCCACAAAAAACGTACATTATGACATGTGTTAAAAGAACTAATTAACTAAACACAGAAACTAGATTTATCGCCTTCTTCGACACCAGGGGTTTACAATATCATTTTCTATAATGGAAAAATTGCGGATGGTTGAGATTGTGAGAGAGCCATTGCTGGGAAAAATTGAAAATGTTGCAAAGGAATCATGGAAAGTAGGATATTTGGTTTCAACTCGTGAGGCCAGAAGTAAAAGTTTGGGTTCTAGCATTGTCCATAGACGAAAAGATACGACGTTTGCGGTTAATCAATTACCCTGCATTCAGGACGTGGATTCTTACAACACGTGTATCCAATGTAAATGTACAGAAAAAATACTTGTAGGAAAATTCAATAGATCGGAGCACTATCGCAGAGGAATTTACTTTACCGATACCGTCTGAACCAATGGTCAGATTTTCGATTTGTAAACGGCATTTGACATCTTCTTCAAATATAATTTATGTTGTAAAGTCCTTTTTCCCAAAAAACTAGCATCAACTCTAGTTTGAAGTAGGTGCTCGAACTTTCGAGAACAATTTAAAAAAATATGTGCTTATAGTACGATGGGTATTACTAAGCAACACAAAAGCGACAAATTCCTGCTATATATTTATTTTTTCTCTGTAATTTCTTGTTTTTCTGGTAATTTTAGTGCTAGCTGCATGTCAAATTAGCCGAATATTTATAGCAGGGTCAAAAGAGCTACATGTTTTTGCGAAACAAATTAGCAACTGTCTAGTACTAGTAACTAAAGAATTGCACTGACTTTCTCCTATTCGTTTTCTCTTTCCTTTGTTTCAGCTAGCTACTCGGACTTGCCACATACCCTGACCAACTGGCATCTACCGCCGACCAAAGTACATTTTTTGAAATTTTCTTAATTTTTTGGATTTTTTAATAGAACGAAAATATTATTTTAAGAATATTAAAAGGTCAGTAAAACCTCGCCCTAATTGACAATTTTCTTCGAAAAATTTGGAGCAGTTTTAAAGAAAATGGCGTTTATACGCTACTGTAAATTCGAAATTTGAAGCTTTTTTTCACAAAAATTTTTTGAGTTTTCGAAAAATTTCATTGGAATTCATTTTAAGTACTTTAACTCACAAATACAATAATGTTTTCAAATCGCTGGAAATATGCATATCAACGGCGTGAAAGATCTTTCAAAAATGTATATTTGTGAAATTTCTGAAAGAAAATATAGAAATTAACTTTACGTCATATTAAAGAGTGCAATTACTACTATCGGTTCGAAATGTTTAAAGAAAAAATTTAAGCAGTTTTGAGAAAATGGCGGAGCGTTTCTGAAAATGAGAAATTTTGAGCTACTTTTCACAGAAAACAATTGAGTTTTCCAGAAACTGTACGTGACATTATTTACACATTTACTCATAAATATAATATGAGGAAATTGTCTGATCTATTTTTAAATCTAACGGGAGGTTTGCAGACGTGACCGCAGAGTTGGACACCCACAGAAACACATTGACCAATCAGGACACAGTCATCAGGACACATTATCATAGGAGGGCTGAATGACATTAATTTGCGCGGTAACTTTACACCTGAACAACATGTAAACAAATTACAACGTGCCGCCCAAAACACTAATATTGTAGTCTCGACTCTGCCCTTCTGATACAACAGACCAATACTATGCAGCGAGATTAAGCACGCAAACCAACAATTAAAACTGCAACTGAGGGAAACAAATGTTACACTTTTTGAAATGGTTTTCCTCTCAGCAAAACACTTCACCCGGCATGGTCTCCACCTTGCTGGAAAACATACAGTCGGCAACAAGCTTGCACAACACATCATCAACTCCCGCCCTATGCAGTCTCCTGCCATCCTTTTCCCTTTCACCTTTCTTACGTTTTCCACCCCACCTTTATTTCGAACCCACTTACTTCCTCCTCTGATCCTTGTCCCAGTACCACTACCAATTCTCCTACGAATACACCTGATGCCTCAGTTTCCTCACTTCCTGTCACTGCCAGGACACAATACAACCTTCGTCCACGCATTCGAGGTAAAAATGGAGTAAATATATTGCAACTACTGTGAGATGCAGTAGATAAACATCCGTGTAGGTACTTGCAAAAGATAAACATACTTCACAATAATGTTCAATCCCTTTCAAATAAAACTGAGTTTATCGAAGTTGCTCTACAGAGCGTTTTAAATCAAATATATGTTCTTTGCTTTACAGAACATTGGTTATTTCATAATGATCTTAGCACTTTCCAAATTTCTAAGTTTTACCTCGCAGGATATTATTGTAGAGAAAAGGAATCACATAAAGGTCCTGCATATAGGGGTTCTGGCATTTACGTTGGAAATAATATATATTCAATTTCCTTGACGGAATTAAATAAGTATACCGTTGAAAATGTTTTTGAAATGTTAGTACATCTTCCTACGGTAAAAAGTATATTACTTTGCATCTACATGCTTCTATCAAGGAGGCCAGTACATTATATTATGTTCTTAAAAAAACCGGAGATGACACAAAACAAAGTCACCAATCGCTCTTTTGAATCTATTGTTATATGTGGAGATTTTAACATTGATTTTCTCGTCGAATCTTGCGAGAAAGAGAGTTTCTCAATTTAATTCGTTCCGTTTAGATCCTTCAGTTTAGATATTACAATACATGTGCCTGCACGGATCACACTAAATTCAAAGAAGGCAATCGATAAAATAATTAATAAAACCACAATTCGATATGAAATTGAAACAAAAGATTTAGGATACAGCGATCACGATGCACAAATTATTGCCATTATAAGAAATGCGAACACTGACACAATAATTAATACATGTATAAGTAGATTATTTACTAAAAGTAAAATAAAATTATTCATCAATTACTTGCTGCAAGAGTCATGGATCGCGGTTTACAGTACTATTGATACAAACGATAAATACAATTATTTTTTTCAATGCTTTCATTTCATTTTAAAACTTGCTTTCCTCTTCATAAGAGGAAATTAAATATTTTACGGAAACGCATTTCTTGGATAACACAAGGAATTAGGACATCATGTAAAAACAAACGAATTATTTCTTTCATTTCTAAGCATCATAACTGATCTCAAGGTTTCCCCCCCCTCAAAATTCAAAAATACAAATCATTGTTACGAAAAGTCATACGGCAGGCTAAAGACGACCAGGATATTTTGAACTCAATAATAAAACAAAAGCAATGTGGAATATAGTAAAAAATCGATCAAATCAACTAGAAACATTGTAGAGAATGTTGTTTTTAAAGTAAGTGGCTAGCCTCTTTAACCAATACTTTTCGAGAATTGCTGCCGATCTCAGTAAGGGTCTTCAGCTACAAAATTCAGCGTCAGACGTTTCCCCAAAATCTTTAGGCAATGTTTGTTTCCGAAGCTTCTTCCCAAATTCTGAAAATAATCGGTAGCCTAAAAAATAAATATTCGGCCGGTTTATATGAATTTCCGGATTGTTTGCTAAAGATTTGCGCGCCCGCCATTACCCGCACCCGTTATCTCACATATTTAATGTATCCTTACGCACAGGAATTGTTCCAGACATTTTTAAAACAGCTACGATTAGCCGCTTATCAAAAAAGGCAACAGAAATGAAATTCAAAATTATCGGTCAATGTCGGTATTGTGACCTTTTGCAGATTTTTTCAAAAAAATTAGACTTTTTTACATACTAATGGAAACATATCGTAGTAAACACGACGCGTTTTCAATTGTGAATATGGGTTTCGAAAATCAAAATCTACGGAAACAGCCAATTTTTTCTTGTCTTAAAGATGTCGCCTCATCCATGGATCAAAACGAAGCACCTATTGGAATATTTCTAGGCCTTTCAAAAGCTTTTGACGTCATTGATTAAAACATTTTACTCTCAAAATTACCTTCGTATAGAATTCGTGGTGTTGCTCTAGATTGGTTATGTTCGTACCTTAAAACAACGATCTCAGAGTGTAGAAATACCTTACTGGAACAATGGAACATTATATACACACCTTTCTGATTTTTTGCCAATTGCATGTGGAGTTCCGCAGGGATCGATTTTAGGCTCTATTCTCTTCCTACTATACGTAAAGGATATGCCCTCGACGATTTGTAACGGAAGGACAGTTCTCTTTGCGG